AGAGCAGTCAGGGTTCCCTGCCCTGTGGAAAGTCCAGGGTCTTCTCCCCTCTATCCAGGTCTAGGAAGGTGAACATCCAAACTGGCTAGGCTCCCACAAAGCCAGAGCATGAAGTAGGAACAAAACCCCTGCCATTGTCCTTGGCTTCTCATCAGCCCTCATTGTCCGCCATGTTCAGAATAATCAAACTGAGGGCTGAAATCAACGAAATAGAAACACAGAAAACAATCCAAACAATCAATGAAACAAAAAGCTGGTACCTGGAGAAAATCAACAAGATTGATAAACCCCTATCCAAACTAATCAAATGGCAGAGAATTTGTAAATTATTAAGATCAGAAATGAAAAGGGGGACATAACCACAGACACAGAGGAAATTCAGAGAATCATTAGATCCCACTACAAACCTGATTTTTCTTAACTCAGAATGAATCCACAGCCTCTCATTTCCTGTGAAAACAAAACCAAAACCTCTTTTTCCAAAGTAACATACCCTTTGACTTCAATTTTGAAGTCAGGATATTTTCAAAATATTTATCTTGAATTAATTCAGCAGGAGTTATAAACAAATATATTTTAGCAGCTGTTGCTCTTTCTTCAGCATTCAAATAATTCAAAGATAACATAATAACATACAGTATCCAGATTCTCTGTGTATTTTTCATATTTACTTGGCTTTATTTAAACCTCTATTTCTTTTTTTTTTTAATTTTTTGCTTTTTGAGACAGGGTTTCTGTGTGTATCTTTGGATGCCCTGGAATTTTCTTTGTAGACCAAGCTATCCTTGAACTCACAGAGATCTGCCTGTCTCTGCCTCCCAATGCTGAGATGAAAGGTGTGTATCGCCACAACTTAAACTCACAGAGGTCTGCCTGCCTCAGTCTCCCAAGTGTTGGAATTAAAGGTTTGTACCAACATATCCAACTACTCTCTTTTTTTATTTTAAGGAATTTAAACATTTTCTTTTCTATTCAAAGCCTTAATATATTTTAAAACACACTGTAAGCCATTTAGAGGTTTTCTTTGTCTTTGAATGTGTCTTTACTGTATATCTCTCTTTTTTCTGACCACATGAGTATTTAATTTGTTAAGCAATATGTAAAGGATTAAAACCATGACTTTGACAGCTGGATCCAGCCCATTTCTTAGTTTTCTGAGATTCCACATTTATGGCAGTTGTACTGGCTGTAGTCATGTTTAATGCCACAATTCTATGTGTTTTAAGGTCCTTGCTAGCAAGCAAACTGCAGCAGTGTGCTCAAAAACCACACTCAAATGCTCTGTAGCTGGTCCTTCTGTCTGAAGGAGTCAGAGTTAGCATTGGCAGGACAGCCCAGAAAGCCAGAATTTTAAAATGCTGCTTTTGTCCTGCTATGGATGAAAACAAAAAAAGCATGCAACCAGCTTTTCATCAAAATCCTTTAAGTATTTTGTGGAAGGACCTCTTAAAAACAGCTGCAAGGTTTTACAGCTAAAGTACTCTTAAATGAGAGTGCTTGCCTCTACCAAGCAGAGCCCACCTGAGAAAGTGCTGCTTTCAATCAGCCATGCTTGACTCTATTATTTTATGTCTAGAATTACTTCCCAAGCTCTCTCAAGCTTTATGTGGCTGCAGTTTTCCAGATGTTGAAAACTGTTATGCTGAGGCTTTCTGTTCTCCCCAGTTCCCGCAGTCATTAAAAACCAAAGAAATCACACATAAGTCTGCATTAGTTATAATCTGATTGGCCTAGTAGCTCAGACTTTTTATTTACTAAATCTTATATCTTATATTAGCCCATTATATATTTCATGTTTATGTTAGTCAAGTGGTTTGTTACCTTATTTGGCGAGGCAGTCACATCTTGCTACTTCTGTGGCTGGGTCATGAGTGCAGACTAGGACTTCCTTATTCCCAGAATTTTCCTGTTCTCATTGACTCACCTCTATTTCCTGTCTGGTTTTCCAGCCTATATTTCCTGCCTGGCTACTGGCAAATCAGTGTTTATTTAAAATATAATTGACAGAATGCAGATCATTGTCCCACAGCAACATCTGATTTTCAGATCAAGGATCTGTGACTCAGATATGAGGGCAGAGACCACAAAACTCATTTGCAAGTGAATCTATGTAAGCGAGAACTCTGTGGAGGAAACAACGGAGAGAGAAATGTATCTACATGATGAAACTAAAATCCTGTAAACTTTGAAAATATGTTTAAATACCTTGGTAGAAGTAGGGTATTATATTTTAGCCAAAAACAAATTGATTACACACTAGCAATTTGAGAAGATCAGAAAAGATTTCAAGACAAAAAAACTACATTTTGACAGCATTTTCAGAAACAGATGTGAGGCTCAGGGGACCTTAAGCAGTATGTTAGCTAGAAACCTCCTTCAGGCTCCTGAACCTCAGCTGCTGTCTCTAGCTGCATTACATTCATAGTATGAGTACCCAGAGCATAGCCAGGATCATTGATAAAATTGATGTTCATGTTTTATGTGAGGATGATGGAGGGAGTGTAGGAAATCAAGGTTAAATACCAGGGTATTCCTACATGATCTGTTGGCTCCTAATGAAATCCTAAATTCTACTCTAAATGGAGTAGCTCTGTTGTGAATCTAGGGAATCCACTCTCAATGATCCCTGAGTCTCTTCAAGACTGATCCTGGTGCATACAGCACAGCCCGGTCTGCCCTGTGTAATGCTATATATCTTATTCAGATAAAATTGCAAATTATATAAAAAGTAAATATTACAGTAGAAAACAGTACTTCAAAAATATTGAGATGTCTTAAAGATTAGTACAGACTAAATTCTAGACTAGTGCAATGAGAAACACGACTTTGATGCACATAGCAGGCCAAGAAACAGAGAAGCCATCCCTTCATGGGCTTGTGCAACTGCTTTGATTCAGCACTCTGAAATGATTTGTGCTAGTGCTGGGGAGTCTCTATTGGCCCTTAGTACCACTTGCTCATCTCAAGGTCTCTGTAGGAAGGTTTTGTACAGGTTCACACAAGAGTTCTAGCACTGTGTCTGGTAGAGTAAAAAACGGCTGTGCCCTCTGTTTTCAGACTATTCCGTTTTAAGGAAACTTGGCACTAGGAGGTGTCCCTGCTGATGGTAACTTAGGGTTTGAGAACTGAATTATAATCAATATTTTCATTATACCATAGTATTCCCATGAACTCTAGACCCTATCTTGGTGTCTGATAGACCCAGTGTATATGACAGCTGGTTAATGAGAACACAGAGACAGTGCAGGTGAGAGAAAGGTTCTGGGTGTGTGATGGCTGAACCAGGTCAGGTCCTGACTCCTTCACCTGGACCTGGAACAGGTCACCTGGGTACAAGCAATATCATCATCAGTCATACATTCCAAACATGGTGTACCTGGGTCTCTTTCCTTAAACCCTGGAACATTTCCAGGTTGGAAAGGTCATGAGGCAGAGGAGCACAATCAGGACAACCATGGTCTGCTGGAGGCTCCAGTGAGAAGGAGATGGGACATCTCATATTGAATAATAAATACTGTTGTAGAAACCTCAAATTACCATTTGAATCAAGGTCTCACATAAACTACATAAGAACTAGACCATTGGACTGAATCACAGAATTGGATGAGAACTTTTAAAAAAATACACTGTTTTAATTGGGAGCATTTACTTCTGTTTGGGTAGTCTAGTTCTCATGGAGACAAACATAGAGTCCACTAGACTCACTTGTGGTTCTGAGCTCCTTGTGTCATCTAGGGTTTTATTCTCCTTTGGCTTCTTCAGGAAATAATACAGGTCAAAAGACAGAATCACTCCAGCTCAGTATGATGATCTGCATTTTGTTCAGGTAAAGGACATCCTAAGTTTAAAAAGCAACTATAATGGGGCTGTGAAAATCCAGTTTTTGACACACAAGAACCCTTCAGTTAGATCTAAACACAGAACTCAGAATCCATAAGTAAAAAATAAAGAAAGAAGAAAGGAAGGAAGGAAGGAAGGAAGGAAGGAAGGAAGGAAGGAAGGAAGGAAGGAAGGAAGGAAGGAAGGGGTGTGATATCAAACCAGGTATACCATGTAGGTAATCTGGAGACTAAACAATCACTGTGAATAACTGGAAAATCAGACAATCCAGTCATTGAGATCCAGGCCCAGGGAGATAGAATTTGCCTCAAAACAAGTGTTGCAGGTTTTTAGAGAAATGCTTCATATGTCATCACAGACACACACACACACACACACACACACACACACACTCACACATGGAGAGCGAGAGAGATTGAGACAGACACAGTGAGATATAGGGTAATAGGGAGAAACACTATAATAAATCAGCACACACAACACAACAGGAAACAGAAATTAGAATGAACATTTGGTCATTCAAGGATTACTCCACACTATATCTGTAGAGAAAATCCTTAAGTGTGATATGTAGAGGCAGTGCATACAAGAGAAGTGCAGTCTTCCCTGCTTCTCTGAGCAGGCTCTTCTGTGACCCAGATTTCTCAGTGCTCTCAGAGCCCCCTGCTGGTCTTGTGTTCTCCACAGAGGTGTTTTTGTCTGAATTCTCAGTAGCATTCACACACTGTGTATCTTGTACAGTAATACATGGCTGTGTCTTCAGATCTCAGACTGTTCATTTCCAGGTACAGAGTGTTCTTGGCGTCTTCTCTGGAGATTGTGAACCGACCCTTCACAGAGTCCTTATAGGAGGTGCTACCACCACCAGTATTAATATATGCGACCCACTCCAGCCCCTTCCCTGGAGCCTGGCGGACCCAGCTCATCCAGTAGCTACTGAAGGTGAATCCGGAGGCTGCACAGGAGAGTTTCAGGGAATTTCCAGGCTGCACTAAGCCTCCCCCAGACTCCAGCAACTGCACTTCACACTGCACACCTGTAAACACAAAGAATTCAGGTTAGAAAACTGACACAGAAGATATTTTTTCTCTTTCTCATGTACACAGAACACACAGCATCTCATCTTTATGAATTACCTTTTAAAATAAGAACAAAGGAAACCAATATGAGCCTTAACTCCATGGTAAGTGACCTGTCTTCAATGTTGAACCCTGACTGGAAGGACTTTGGGAATCCAGTGTGTGTCTCCTCTGCCAGAGCTGCAGGGTCAGGGCAGGGCTGGATTTTATGGGCACAAAGAAGCCTTATTTGCATATCTTCCTCCCATAACAGGCTCTGTAGCTGGACCTGGGTAGAAGGCAGTACTCAGAGCATATATTAGACATCATATACACTGCTAACAGTTATAGAAATTGAAGCATTAATGTAGCTCTGTATACATAATTTCCTTGTTAGTGATTCACCATACATTAGTTACTTTCCTTTTCCCCATATGCATAGAAAAATGTTGTGTTTCCACACTGTCATGTATCTTTAGGGTCAATGTGAAATAGAAAACCTCCACACAAAGCTGCATTTCTAGATATAAGCTTTGTCTGCCCCTCTGTCTCTGCTTGACATGGCTTCTTCTTGAGGTGAATCCTGACAGGAACACTTGAAACTTTTCTGAATTCTACTCAGTTCTAAGAGGTGCTATGGTACGCCCTATGGAATTTTGCAAATAATACATTTCTTGTATTGTCTGTCTTCCTTTTAGTGAAAATGTATTTGTATTTGCAGCACTTAGTGGTCTGCATCCTGAAGTTCTCCCTATGATCACTTTGTAGCTCCCACTCTGCCTTTCCCACCTCAATACCATGCAACACATGGCTGGCTTCATGCTGTCTAAATTTAATTTATTTCTACATATTTATATTTTCATCACAATGTGGGCATTTCATAAGTGTCTATAACCAAACACAAAACTTCTGCATCAGTTGTGTACTTTCAGGAGGCTTTGTTTTTGTTTTCCCAAATTCTCATGGTTTGCTTTCTACCCACTCAGGAACTTTTTCACACTGCACCCAACTTTTCCTTTGAAAACACTTGTATTACCCTGTGCTTTTTACCTTCTGTCCTTCACTTAAGATGTCTTTTCCTGTTTTGACTTCCATTCTAGTTCCAAGCCTACACAACAGAACTTTCAAACACACAGTCTGTATTCTCTATAAGGCAGAAAATGTCCTTCCCAATCTTCAACGTGTTGTGTGATATAAGATTTCCAGTAACATTCAAGTTCCTCCAAGGCTCAGAGAACACTGATGAAGAAGATGAGGGAAGAATGTAAGGAGTGGAGCACAGGGAGAGGTGCTGTGAAATGCTGTCTTCTGGACATGACATGGATATCACAATCATGGACTCATAATGGCTGCTGTTGTCTGTATAATCCTAACTAGGGCCAAGCCAGCCTGGTATAGTTAGGGCTGATAATTCCTTGGCCCTACTTCTTACAGTGGAGTAGATGGAAATGTATTTTCTGGACAAGGGATATAGTCCCTTTGTTGAGGTTATAGTCAATGGTATGCTTTCAAAATTGCAGTGCATGGGTTCACAAACATGCACATATGGGCAGCACTTTCTGTGCTTAAATAAGTATAAGGTTGATACACCCCCATGATTGCCAGATTTGGGAGGAGCTGGATGAAATAATATCATACATAGAGATCCTAATGAATAAAGGAAAATAATATAAACTATATAACTGAGGCTCAAAGCAATAAATTCAGAAAGCAAATAATTAAGGAACACTGGTAAATATCAAGTAACTTGGTAGGCAACTTTATCTGGGACCATCTTCCCATCCAGCTAAGAACTGGTGGAGTCCTTCACTTATTTAGTTTTTTTTTAATTTATTAGATTTTGTTTTTAAAAAACTACCAATCCAAGTTCCAACACCCTTCCTTGCTCCCATTACCTCCACACACCCTCCTACCCTACTTCCATTTAATCCTCAGAGAGAGTAAAGCACATTGCCTTGTGGAAGGTCCAAGGCCCTCATTACCAAATCTAAGCTGAGCAAGGTGTACATCCAAAGAGGATAGGATCCCACAAAAAAACATTAGATGCATTAGAGATAAATCCTGGTTCCAAGCCAGTGGCCCCTCAGTCTTGTGTGATCTTGTGCATGCAGTTGCAGCTGCTGTGACTTTATGATTGAGACATCGCATGCTTGGTTGTTGGCTCATATGATTCTGTGCATTCAGTTACAGATGCTGTGAGTTCATGAGTTAGACACCTCATGCTGGGATCTTGGATAGTGTGGACTTGTGCATATAGTTACAGCTGCTATGAGTTCACAAGTGTTGCAGCCTTGTTATGCCTGGAAAACACTGTTTCACTGACATTATCCCTCAGTTCTGCCACTTTAAGCTCTTTTTATTTCTCTTCTATTATTGTTCCCCGAATCGTGGAAATTGAAGGAATGTTTAAAATGTACCATTTAGACTGAGGACTTCAGGGCCCCCTATTCTTTAAACGTGGGTTAGTTTTAGGTCTCTGTATTAATCAACACCTCCATAAATCAAAGTTTTGATTTAGCTGAAGAAAGGTAATGATATTTAGTATAAATTTTAAATTCTTAAGGTGTTGTTTAATACAATGTCCATTTAATGGAATAATAGTACTAAATTATCTCCTAGAGCTTATGATCTACCCATGTCATGGTTTTCTAGTCTGGTTCTTGGAACCAGATATAATTTTCAGTTTTGGGGAGTGGGCCCTAAATCCAATAAGAAATATTTAGTCATTCCCAAAAAATTCACAGAACTATTGAGCCAATGTGCATACATTGTCAGGCTCTTTACTATTGTAGGTTGTGATACTTATTTTTGAGACCCAAGGCCAGTGTCAGATATCATCTCATGTTTTCAAACTTGTTTTCTCATGGGTGACTCAAGCACATTTCCTGCTTCTTTCCCTGTTCTCAAAATTAGGATTTGTTCTTTTCTTGCTGAGCTTGTTACTGTATTCTATTGTTTTCATGTGTGGTCCACACCTGCTTCTGCCCCATCATCCCTGTGGACTACATAAGGAACACAAGGTGAGAATACCACCTGGACACTCAGCTCCACTGCCATCTTACCCAAGGTCTCCACACATTCTTTGCATACTGCCATGACTTACAGTCTCTTAGGGGCATGCATGTTACAAGGCCATGGGAGCAGATATGTACTATAGCAAAAGTACCTGTGCTCACTTTTATTTATGGACGATTGCCATACTGAAAACAATTAACTGAAAATTATAGGGATGTGATAACTACAATCACAATTAATCGTGGGCATCTCTGTGAGATTTGACACCTCAGGCTTTACTTATAGGGAGTCCAGCAGTGAAAGTATAACAGTGGGATATGGAAATAATCATTGAAATTCAATAATGTATTTTAATTGAAAATATTATTATCTTCGGATCCTCACATAGAAGTAAGAACATTGGGCATGTGTTCTTGTATACAAAATTTTTGTGGTTTGCCCAAATTGCTTTTCAGTAATGTAACCGAACTATGTTCCCTTTAACAAGGCACAGGGCCAATTTCTCTCCATCCTCATAGCACTGTGATTTCTTTCTTTCCTTTAGGAATTGGGTCTTGAATTATTGGATACAGGCAACCTATCCTTTTGACTTTAAGTTTCATTTTTATGTTGATCAAAGTTGCTTGTTCTATGCAACCTACTCTGCCCACATGCATTGGCCAAGATGAAAGAACTAAAAGAGAGGATGGTGTCCAGGAAGATGTCTGTTCATGAGGGCATTAGAGCTATGTGCTATCCTTAGACTCAAATTTCAGACAAGTATAGAAATGAGTTATATTTGAGAAGAAAAATGAGACTGATCTCTTGGATGAGACAAAAAGGTTAGGAGTTAAAGTTCCTAGCCTTGTACAAGGAGTAGTGGTATTTCAAAAACAATATTCATTAATCCACATGAGGAATACTTTTTGAAATTTTCTCTATGTATGAAAGGTTTATATAAACTATGGAGCACTCACATTGGGTTAACTCTCAACAGTGGATGAGAAAATGAAATATTTTTTAATATGTGTGTATGTTTCTGTGTGAGTACTGTAGTGTGCATGGGGAAAAATAGAGACCATGGGTTCTCCAGACTTACAGGTAGGTATGACTTAAACATTATGGGTGCCAGAAATTGAAACTGTTTTCCTGCAAGAACAATATGTCCTTTGAACCTTTGAGCTGCTTCCCAAATGCGCAGATGAGCAGTGGCAATTTTCCCTTTTATGTGTGCTACAGCTCAGTTCTCAACAGTTGAAATATCAAACCAATCTGCATGTCACAGGGCCTTGTCAGTAATAGCCAGGCATCAAGAGGATAAGATGACCACTTAACCTGTGCCAATTAAGAAGCTCATCTTAGGAGAAGTAAAATTAAAGAAGTCTGATTATGGTTTGGACAGTGTAGAGTGAGAAGATTAATCAGTTATTTGGGAAAGATTATCCCAAATAATGAGTTATATGGAAGTTGACCAAAGTTAATAAGAACTTATCCTGTTTTCAGATATGGAAAAAGTCAGTTTTAAAGTTACACAGACCACCAAACAATAACTGTTCATTTAGCCTGCTGAACCACTGTTTAAAAGTTTGATGGGAAAGCTAACTTTTACCACGATGAAAATGGATGAAATGGGGTCTGTCAAAAGCAATAATCAATTCTATCTTTTAATGGGACCTTCTTGGACTAGAAGGAAACTGGGTATTTCAGTTTCCAGGGTGTAATGAGAAAACAACTTTAAATTAGGGAAGCTGTGGTTTCTATCACAGATGCAAAAACAAAGAGAACAAATTACATCTCTTTTAATGTTCTCTAGTTAATAACTGAACCTAATATCCAACAAAAGTCATAACTGCTGACCTCTTTAAAATATCTGCATATATAAGAAAATGTGTGAATATGTATGCATATATGTGTGTATGTAAAACATATAAAGTTATATACCATTCTATCTAATAACAAGAAGCAGATTGTTAGCTTACAGGGCTTGTGGGAAAGGCTATTGTTATATTATTTGAACAAATAGGAAGTTTATTAGACTATGACAGTGAAGAGACACCTTTAGAGAATTACTTTTCTTATTTGTGTTTGGAAGAGAAAAACACAGATTCTAATATTGAAACCTGTCTCTTGCAGCATATTCTAGAATTTATCTTTTTAAGCAATCTATACTCATCTTGGGAGACCCTGTTGGTCTCCAACGC